ATCATCATCATCATCATCATCATCATCTCCATCATCTTCATTATCATCATCATCATCATCATCATCTTCTTCATCATCACTCAGGTTTCCCATAATTCCACTAAACTTAGTCCAAGACTAACCAGGACCTGGTCCAGTCCCCGACCTCTTATATACAACAGAGATGAGAGTTAGCACTAAATACTTTGAGGTACATAGAGTATAGTATTACAGTATTACAGTATTCTTTGTTGTGGTACGTCTCCGACACCTTTCTGTGATTTTCTGATATCAACATATACCGATGTACTGTACGCAGCCGTTTGCGTTGAAGAATGACGTCACCATGACGATAATTCACTGTCGCATTTGAGTTATCGGGAAAAAAAAACATACCAATTCTTACTGATATTTCCTAATTATGCTAATATCAGCTGACGATATCGGTTGGCCAATAATATCGGACGTCCGTACAATATACCGTATAACAGTGGATCCTTTCATCACTGACCTGTCGGATCCTTGACCAACACTGAATCAAAGGCGCTGTGAACAACCACACAATACAACAGAATATCCTGGGTGACCTTTAACCCGACCTTTAACCCTCACCTGTCCAGAGTGGCGTTCTCGTGTCCTCGCAGTTTGTCGATCACCGGCTGGATGCCCAACATCAGAAACTCGTACCTTAGATGGAGCCGGAACTCCAGGTTGTCCTGGTGGAAGAACCACAGGACACTTTACAGACAAACATCGTTACATCACGGCTAACGTTCGAGATTCTGCGACGGAGAGTGACCTCGCCGGCGCCAGCGTTGAGCACGGCGTTGATGAAGGACATGATGGCTGTCTTCAGGTTGACCTCGTCCCTGTAGCGGCCCGTGCTCTTGTCCAGCTCAGTGAGGAGTGTCTGGGGGGGGGGGGGGGGAACAGGACACTGGGTTCAGTTACATTGACCTTTGACCCCGGACAGCAGTCCAACCATAACCTACAACACGATTTAAGGCCTCATAACCTGTGAATCCCTCTGCCCCCCCGCCCCGTGTAAACCCACCCCAGAATGGCATGACTTACCCCACACCTGGGGCAAATAAAAAGTTCTTGTTGATTCAGTACCGATTCCTGCGGGGACTAAACGTTCCCTGACCACCGTAAATCTGGACGTCTTCATCTGTGTGTGCGTTGACTTAACGACACGAGTCTGACAGCCCTGCTCTCAGTCAGTGACTCCCAACCACTGCACCGTGGCCCACTACTGGGCCGCGGAGAATCATCCAATTGGACCCAAAATTATTATTTATTTATATTAGTGACAGGCAGAACAATTAACCCCTCTTCTGCTAGGTGGCAGCAGAGGGCTATGAAAACTAAAACTAAAGATAATCAGAGCTGTTGAAGAAGATCTTTGTGAGGGTCTTTCTTCAATTCCTGCCTGTGTATCAGCGTTGACTTCAACCAAACAGGCGGAGGTTTGAGTCCACGATGAGGTCATTTAAACCAGAAGATTCATATATTTCATTACATTGACTTTTGTCAGATTTTTGTTAAGCTAAGTTAAGCTAAGTTAAGCTAAGTTCAGCTAAGTTGCATTTTTTTTTCTCACCTGGAACGATGAGCTCTCTGCAGCGTATTTCTGGTAATAAGCCATGGCCTGCAGCACCTTTTTGTGTCCATCGGGAACCAGACACACGGCCCCGAGGATCTCCAACACCGCCACCTTGGTTTTGATGTTCTCTGTCCGCAGACTCTGGGAGATGGTGTTAATGCTCTGGGGGTGGGCCAACACGTGGGCGCGGCCCTGGGAGTTGTTCATCAGAGCCTTGATGCAGCCGATGACGGAGGTGTGGACGCGGCTCTCCGACGTCTCGTAGTCCATGCTGCGCAGGAAGTTGAGGAGGCAGGTGAGGCCGTCCAGCTCAATGAAGCGCGTGACGAACCTGACGAGAAGAAACAAAACAAACAGACAAGGATGAAGTTGAAGTTCAACAGTTGATGAGTTGATGAGTTAATGAGTTTACGCGTACTTCATTGACCAGTTATCGTCACGCAGCAGAACGGTTCGGGATTCAGAGGTTTTCACTCTATTGGCACAATAAGAAAAACTGCATACAGCAGTACTACATGTACTACAGTACTACACAGTACTACAGTATGTACAGGTGATGAGTGCTAACTGTCCATGAAGTTTTCACATCCTGGAAATAACGTCTGGTTGAAGGATAATCATCACACACCGACGTCACGCACCAACGCCACGCACCGACGCCACGCACCGACGTCACGCATTGACGTCACGCACCGACGTCACGCATTGACGTCACGCACCGACGTCACGCACCGACGCCACGCACCGACGTCACGCACCGACGCCACGTAGTAAAACCAGATCTAAAACTGATCTTGGAACCACAGCTAGGTGGAACCGATCCAAGCATCAACCAACCGGTGTGTTCTGGAGTGACCAGTCGTTGGCTGCTCATCGACCCCCCCCCCCCCCCCCCCCCATTAAAGGTTGAAACATGGCTGGATTGAAACGCTCCGCTGCTTTTTACGAAGCCAACAGACAAGTACAGGAAGTCAGTGAACGCATCACACCACCCCGACCCCCCATCTCTGTCAACACTGGATCCAATGGATGGTCATTCCCACTCCAAACACACTCTCTCTCTCTCTCTGTGTGTCTCTCTCTGTCTCTCACCCTCTCTCCCCCCCCCCCCCCCCGCTTTTTTCTGGACCAACCACTGCATTCTTAAAAACCCACTGGGGTTTCGTTCAACGACACCGACCGCTGCAGACAAAGAAGGAGAGCGAGGAGTAACACGTGGACAG